CCTACACCAAATAATCTGAATATTCTTAATAACATGCAAATGAAATAGACTTCTAAATTAAATCTCAAAGTAACTTTCAAGAGAACACATGCGTAATAAAGTGAAACAACAGTTGTTCTTAAGCCCTTTCTTAAAAAGGTTTTTAAATACCACTAAGGTCCTATTTATGAAGTAGAAAATATTTAAATATTTTCCATTGAATATTGTTTTGTCTTTTTCTTTTTTTTTTGCTAAGTTGCCATTCTTGAGATCTGACTAGTAAAGCGAGGTATTCTGAAACATTTCAACTTGTCAAAAAGATTTCCTTCTTCCACATTAATGTGACATGTGACACAAAGTGGTTTCCTATCTTGAACTGAAGGAGATATGTAGATATGCCTGATTTTAAGCTGTCTTGGAGCAGACAAACTGCTTTAGACAGTCAAAAATCATAAATACTTTTCTGTGATATAAACAACCCCCAGGATCCTTGGATTTATGACTTCCAGGAGCCAAAGAATTTTTCTTACTTAAAATAAATTCTGGGATATTTTTAATGGACTTTGGCAGCACAGAAATAGAAAGTTCACAAGTGCCTGCTTTTGGCAGGGGATACAATATTTCTTGATCATCAGAGAGTTGCTGCACCCAGATTTAAAGGACTGGAGTACTGGAGTCCTTATGCCCTGTCATTTCTCTCCCTTATGATACCAGGCCATTGAATCAGTTTCATGTAATGCAACACCACTGTGTTAATGCAATGATACAACAAGGACAGCAAAAAAAAAAGACAAAAAAAAAGAGGCACTTCCAAAATGATGCTTTAGAGATGAAGAAAAATCCTAAGTAAACAGGAATCTGTGGGATAGATAATACCTACAGCAGAAATCTATCGCACTTCCACCTAGAACAGATTAAGTTTTTCTTCCTGTGTCATTAGGGCAATGGGTCTGAAGAAGCTGTGTGGAAAACAAGAACTGTATTTTCTGAAAAACACTGCAGTTTGGCCTGCCTATAGTCAGTTTCATTAGAAACCTTCTAAAAATAAACACAGAAATAAATGCACACAAAAAAAAAATCTGCCAGGTAGAAAAGATATGCTGCCACTGAGCATAATTTAGATGAAGGATTTGAACTGGAGCCAAGGAAAGCCAAATTGTTACCTTAGCTTTGAGATTTTCTGCCCTGCCGTTGGTTTTGATGAAAAAAATTATTCACATTGTGAATTTGCAACTTCTGAGGACAAAATATTGACACCCTGTCACAGAAGAAGTGTAGAAAGGAATTCAGAATTTCTCCCATACCTCCTGCATTGTTCTTTGTATAAGCAGCCACTGTCTTACACTTCTGCCAAATTTTGACATCCTTATGACTCTGCAATGCTGGAGGAACAGTACAAGACAGATGGATTTCCTTTTTATGCCCTTGCCTCATAGCACAGTCCAAATTATCTATCTGTCCAGTAGTCTACCTCAAAAATCCTTATTGGTGCTCTAAAAAGAACACTTCCATAACCACCTGTTGTGCATTTTCCCCTCTGTTCTTTCTAATGAAGTACAAGGCAATAAATCTGCTCCATGTAATCGCTTGCTTTATGTACCAGAATTTCTGTGTAACTGGACCGCACCACATTTCTTGAAATAATATCTTGCACATTTAAGCTGTGCTACTTTCACTGGATACCTTCCTAGAAAAAGAACAAAACTATACAAAATGCTTGAAGTGTTATGAGAAATAATCACAGGTCTGGCCTAACACCTGGAACGCTGTATGGTCTGGATCCCCAAAATGAGTACAAGGGAACAAAAGAAAGACTAGAAACTGATGACAAAATGATAAAAAAAAAAAAACAACTATATATATATGAGAGTCTAAATATGTTAGAATTGTCCTATCTGGAGAAGAAATGAGGACTATAACACCGTAAGTAGCATGGATAAGGTGATCAACTGTCCAATGTCTCTCCACATACAAAAATGAAAATATCAGGAAGCAATGTCAAAACACAGGAGGCATCTCTTCAAACACTGTGTGGCTGAGTTATGCAATTCATTCTTACAGGAAACTGGATGACAGAAGTTCACAGTGGCTCAAAAGCCATCAGACAAATTTATGGAATAAAAAGTCACACAAAAATAAAGCTATTCAGCATACTAAATAGAAAGATAGTATTATGGCTCACAGCATCCCCTGATAGCAACTCAGTGACATCCAAGAATATGTGTAGGAATGTTATAAAATACTGAAAGATTTATTTCATAATTATGAAAATCAGTGCGGTTTAGGACAGAAACTGGTGTAGTTTTAACATGCTCTTTTCAGAGAGAAATTATTGACTAATGTGCCATTTCAGTACACTAAGGCAATCAGATTACAGACTTGATTTGAAAAGTTTGAAGGAAAATAGATGAGGAAAAATGCTGCACACATAAGAGAAGTTTTGCCATCTATGAAAGCAAGAAGACTTTACTTCATTTGTCTTCTTCATTTAACTTTTGAGAATTCACTGAAAACATAAGAGAGGCAAGAAGAATCCACTGATTCTTGTCATTCTGTTCTTGGACGAAATCCTGAAAGCAGAATGCAATCACTGCCAAAAGACATCTCACCAAAGGGTAAACATGATCAACTACTTCAAAGTGATCATGAGACTTGCAGAGCTATTAAAAAGTAAATATTTCTAAATGAGTCTGTAAGAATACATGTGGGCATAGTGATCCACACACGTGTGCACACACAGAGTTTTAAGAACGATTAATTTTTCTTCATCCTTTTTCCTTGCAGAATGTATCCTATCCACTGTCTTACTACATTATTTAAGCAGTTTTAAGACATTTTTCTTTAAGAGGCAGTACGTTATAAAAGTTTCAGAAAACATTATCTAGAGACCTTTCCTCCCTGCCCTGTAATCCACAGTGACTAATTTTCCTTCTGTTGAGTTCACTGCCAAAATTTCTTGGATCTCAATGACTGCCTATAAAGAGGCAATCCTATCTTTAAGATAAACCATACAACTTTGATTGAAATCAGTATTTCTTAGTATAAAGTGTATTCCTTTATCAGGAAATGAAAATACTCACTTTGCACATTTCAGGAAGAATGATAAGAGGGAGAGAAGTTCTTTCCCTCAAAAAAGCTCTACTGCATTTCCTACTCTAGCTATTGCGCTAGAGTAGGAAATGATTTCATGCTAGTCTGGCAGTTTCATGTTGACTGTAGCATCTGAGGACTAAGAACACCTTGTTTGAAAGGCCTCCCCCGAGTCTGCCCTAAAATTGCAGGCAGCACTTTCAAAGGTTTGGCTAAATTTTTCTCATCCTTACTTTTTCCTGGTTTATTTCTGTGTGAGTTGAGAAGGAATAGAAGAGGCTCAGTGGAATCAGAAGAAAAAGCAATAAAAAATTGCTGAAAAATAAGTTTGCAATATATCCTTTCTCAAGAGAACAGAAAGCGGAACCATCAGAATTATGGGAAGAAGTAGTGTACTGGCAGGATTTTCAGAAAATGATCCAGTTTATGAAGTGTAAGATAGGCAGTGCAAATCTGATTCTATACTGTTTGGAATTCTTAGCTAATCTTGTATTCTATTTACATCTCCTTACAGTATGAACGCCCCTGGTAACTCACATTTTCAGGCCTGAATACCCCTATCCCAGACAGTTTTCTGAGGCATCACAACTTCAATGGACCACGTAGCTGCTCAGCTGGATTACCTGCTAGTTTTTTGCTCTGGTGAAGTGCTAAGCAAAGCCTAGCTCTAGGAATATGCCTGGTCTGACTGATACAGAAATAACAAACTACCAGAATTTTAACTTCAAGCCAAGTATTTTTCTGGATCAGGTAAGTTTTCGGCATTTTGCAAAATGCTTTATAAAGAGCTGCCAAAATAATTATATATACATATATAGTTTTTATTTTTACAAATAGCTAGATAACCAAACCCTGGGCTTCTGAACTGTGCCACAGAGTTGGAATATTCTGATCTATGCTATTCTATATATGGGAAAATACATCCTTTTGAATGTCCATGCTACTGGACAAACTTTGCAGACAGATAATATTTTTATTAGACCAATTAGCTTTCCAGAAACGCCCACAAGCTTCTAGACAAGCTTTTTCGTACAAAAGCCATTTATCAGGTCTGAAGCAGAAGCTAAAAACAAACTGAGAAAAATTGCTTAGAATTCGATGAGAAATTTTCTGGTACCTGTGGAGCAGAGAATTAATTTCCTAGGGATTGCTCTCCGCATGCGTAAGCATTTCCAAAAATGCAAATGCTACATTAACAGATATGAAGTATTAGACTTTGCTTTCCTTCATATTTCTGTAAGCCCCAGCTTGAAAACTTGGTTGGAAAAGATGACAATCATCACATTTACAGGAGTCAGATATTATCACTGGGAAGTTGAAGACTGAGGTCTCTCTACTCACTTTAACTCATCTTGAGCTGTTCTTTCTTGCATATTCAGCTCTCTACTTCTCAACTCTGCGATCATTCTGTCAGCCTCACTCTGCAGTTCTGGAATACTCTTCTCCAAGGTCTCATCTTGGGTTCTGAGTGTCTCGTTCAGTTTTATAGCATCTTCATTTGCAGCTGCAGGGGGCCAAAAATATTTATGTAGGAAGTTAGTAAATAAAAAACAACAGAGAGGCTTTAAGCATCTGCCCATCAACTCTATCAGCAAGTGGAATGCAACTTGCACTGGTTATTCCTTCTGTGAAATATAAAGGATGGTTAATCCAATGATCAGTAACAAATGAGAAAATGTTATGTTTCATCAAACCTTTTATTATAGCTCACTTTTAAATACAGTAATTAAAGTGAAAAAGTCTTTATATCAGTCTAAGAAATATATTGCTCCCCTCCTCCCCGCCTCCCCCCCGCCCCGAAAGAAAGAATTTGCACAGAACCTTCAAAACAGCAGAAGATAATCTGGTATATTGCTCATAGAATTAAGGAGCAGGCAGTACAAACAACGAAAATTAGATTTTAATTACTTTTGGACAACTTCAAAATATGTCATTTTTAGCATTCAGACTTAACAGTGCTAGGAAAAATAAATGATTGGGAAATTTCAAAAAAAGGAGGAGAGAGAAGAGGAGTGAAGGACACCCACAGATGTCTACACCCACTCGTGTTTAGAAGCAGATACCCAGAAATGGAAAAGAAGGGTGTAAAGGTTGGAATTTATGATAGTACACTGTAAATGTATTATGTGTTTGGAATAGCTGAATTATTCCTAACTGATAAAGCTGTACACATGGTATCATATTCAAGGACTGACTAAAATCTTTCTGCCATAGCACACCACAACATATTAGAATATACACTTTCAGAAGCAACTAGGTCATTTACGACAATCAGTTCCATCTTCAATTTTAAAAAAGTACTGCTGCCTTTGCATAGGCACAGGGCTCCCGAGTAACTGATTTCTCCAAAATAGCACAGTTCCTGGTCACATGGGTACTTCTGAATATTTTAAATTAAATCTTTAATTGAAGAAATGAAAATCTGTCATCCAGACAGGTTAAGAGCAAATTATGAAGAAAATTCTAATCCAATGATGTCTTCGATTTGCTGGTGAGAACTGAGGTTTGGATCTTTAATCAAGAGTGGTTATGTGTGGGGTAGTGAGGACTGGAAAAAGACTACACTTTGCTTAAGTGGATCATGGACTGCTTCTGCGCATTATGTTATGTATCATTACTAAGTTACATCAGGCCATGAATAGGCAAATATTAATGTTTTTAATATCTAGAATAAATAAATAGTAATTTAACTTCCCTGAATATTTACCTCAAAAGAGAAAATGGATAAGTTATCTCAGCTTTTCTTAGGTTCAGGAAAATTTATACCTAGTTTTATCCTTCTCCTCCATCCTCCTCTTCTCGTAACAATCTTTACTTTCTAGTCTTAGTATACTGCAAACTATCACAGTCCAGTGGTGGTAAAAGATTTGGATGCACTGACATAGACGAACACAAAGAAGTGCAAAGCTTGAGAAATTCCGCAGTTAACAGGGAAACTAGTTACAGGTACTCAAAGTTCAGAAAGTCAGCAATCAGTTCAGTAGAAAGGGATCAATCGTCAGAGTACGGTTGTTACAACAAATCACTACACACTTCTCACTTGTAATAAGGAATTTTTATGGCTTGAAGAATTCCTTGATTCCCTGACATTTAGGGAGGCGTCTGTCAGATCTACAATCGTGTACTTCTAAGCACTGCCTTCTCAAGCATTACTTTCAGTCAATAGAAAGAAATAGGTCCTTTCTTGGCATTTCATCCTAAAGTTGTTGCCTATGGGCAACAAGTACCAGGGAGCTCAGGGTCACAGATACAGGCCTGCATTCCTAGAGATCCAAAGTACTATAACTTTCAGACATCTGTGACCTAGGGATGGAGGACAAGGAATGGGCATAAAGAATACCTGAAAACTGGTTGGTCATCTCAATCAGAACATCATGAGTGGACATAAAGTCTTTAAGGAACAATCTAGCAGTATCTCATAGGTCAAAAAAAGCAAAGACAAAGAAGGTATAGGGCCAATATGCAGTTAAAATGCCGTCAAATTTTAAAATAATCTAGGAATGGCTCCAACCATAAGGTGAAAGTTTATCCCCAGTTTTTGAAAGATGGTGATTTTGAACAGGAAGACAACTGAGGATGGCAATCAGAAGTAAGAATGTAAAAATTATCACAACCAGAGAAAGAACATTTTGAAGAACTCAAGCTGGAATGGCCAGAGAACTGCCATTACAGAAACTTGAAAGATCTGGTGCATGACATTGCAAATCCAAGAAGATCACCATTTGACTGAGAACAAGCAAATGTAGTGCCTGTTTTGAAGAAACAGGAATTCCACTACGGCTTGAGAACTTGCTTTGGAACTAAGTGGAAAACAGGTTGTGGAATAAATGAACGTGGTTTTATTCTTTTTTCCACAAGTAGCACATGTCACACTATACGGTTTAATAGCAAATCGAGTTGAATATTTCCATTAATGATCCGGGGGGGTGGAAGGTGGGGGGGGGCGGGCGGGGAAAGGAAGTCTACTGAGAAAATATGCTTATGAGGAAAAGTTGTAAGACAGTCTTAGTAGAGAAGAAGGAATGCTATGCAGAAAGAACTGGGTGACCTTCAAAACTGAAGTAATTGGATCGGAATGAGATTCAAGAGTAGAAAACATAAGGTTATGAACTAAATAACAACAGAAATTTCAGCTGTAAACTATGGCTTTGCCAGTTAGATATAAGGTATGAATGAGAAGAACATAGCTATATTATGAATCTCCAATTGCACCCAGCTGAGGAAAAAAGGAAACGCTATCCCAGAATGTATTAGGAGAGCTGACACAGGCAGGTTTTACTGCTACTGAAGTGCAAGACACTGAAGCAACCTCATTTCAATGCTTGTTACCTGTGGAAATATAAACCTAATTTTGAAGAGAAGAAGGGAAATTAATGAAGGTGATTTGGGAGAATATGTTTTAAGGTGTTTTAGTCTAGGAAAAAAGGGGCTAAAGGGGAATATGATTCCTCTCTACAAACATACTTGGGGGTGGGGAAGGAGGAGAAGCACGAGGGAGAGGAAAAAAACTACTTGAACTAAAGAACAAGGTTGGCAAAAGAACACATGATGATAAATTAAACATGAATATTTTTAGCTAGAAATGAGGTTTGTAGTTATGAAGAGTTCTGAAACTGCCTCCTATTCAGATTGTGTGTATTTGTGGGAACTACTTTGAAGATGAGGGTCAGAAAGTTTATGATAGCAGGGGAGTGGATGCAGCAACCCATGCGATCTTTCAGTCCTGTGCTCCTATATTTCATCTGTTCTTAAAATGTTAACTTGGCCACTAGGCAAACACATTGATTTTAAAGTCTTTGTCTACTTCTAACATACTGCATAAATTTATTTCACCCCCTCAATGTCTTCTAACTCTGTATTTCCTACTGCTAAACCTACTTGAGGAAACTTTTGTTTAGGTTACAAACACTGGGCATAAACTTTGTGGAGCAAAAAATTGGTTTAGCCCTTGTCATTCTAAATTCATCTTGAAATATGAAGAACCTGGTCTTTTGTTTAAAAAACGTCTTGAAAACTTGCTTACTTTTTCTTGTTGCTTTTCCTACATTTATTTCATGTCAAAGTAGTACGTCCTAAAGATATCCTAAATTGCTGTTCAGTTCAGCTACAGGGCATGTACTGGGACGTGTTACATGAAAGGCAATATAAAAGGTATTTTATAGCACTTGGACAAAAGTGGAAGCTTTCCCTTTCAATGAAATGGACCTTCAGAAGCATAACTACTGAAATCAGTACTGTAGTGGGAGTTTTGAGGAAGAAAGAACAGATCAGTATTTTTCAAGTAAAAAACCTGCCTGTGATTGCCAATCATTTTCATATTTTTTAGCCATTATCTTATTTAATAGCTTTATGCAATATATAGGTCTTGCTTCTCAAAGTCACCTACAATACTTTCGCTCATAAGTCTTTACTGCATTTGTAAATGCAGTGAATCAGCTTGCGGAAGAAAGAGAGTTGGCTCTATGCCAGCTAAGTAGGGTTAGGAGTCACTTGCAAATTCCAAGCAGCAGATGTTCATTAACAGCAAGTAATAATGTATTTTTGAAGTAATTTTTGGGAATTAAGATGAAGTGTTAATGTACCAAGTGCTAAAATTACATCAAGCTTTTTTACCAATACATGTTTTTAACTGCTTTGAAAATAAACAGAAGCTAAGCCCCGTTAGTTACTTCATCATAATGGCTTTTCTTCAAATAACTGCAAAAATCCTGAAGAAACATATTAAATATTCTGCTAGCCTTCGTTCATAATTACCAATGCACTAACTGTTTATATTAACTGCATCTGTAGATTGCAAAAAGTCTGAAGATAGTTGACCGTAGTTTCTTAACTCAACATTTAAAGCACATGACATTTCTCAGTGAATAAACTCTTCCTCACTGCCTTTCAGACCCTCCTCCCTACCTCCTTCAGTTTTCTTGGCATATTTTGGCATATTTTTCGTTTTCCAATACCTTCAGCAGCTTGGAGAATGCCTTTGACGAACTGTCCAAGAGATTTCGCTCTGTCATTAGTCCTCTCAGCATCCTGCCTGGTTTGCTCACCATCTGCTGTCACCTTGGTGGCCTAGTGATCCAAATTTAGGAAAAGTATAATTAATAAACAGGACAAGGCTGCACTATGCGATATTCCTACTGACTGAATCTATGTACAAAACTTTCCTCAGGCAAAAGGCAATCAATGAATTATTGATCAGATGCATGGGAAATGACATGCTCTGTTCAAGTACACAATTAAATTTTATTACCTTTTCCTTTAAATGGAAATTGGAAGGCTTTATTTTAGGTTCTTAGAAACCCTAGTTGTGTGCAACAGCACACAAAGGGAGACAGGATGAAATTATTCACTGAATTTGCTTAAAGAAATGTTGTTTGGAACCTTTTAATAGATTCTTCAGGGAATACTTTCCATAGTTTCACAACTGTGCACTTTTCGATTGACAAAGTGCAGCAGATATCATGACCTCTTTGCTTCCTCCCTGGAGACTTTCTCAAAGAGACAGTTCACACCAACAAGCAAGAAGAATTTTAAATCAATACATTAATTAAACTAAGAAAGAGAGAAAAAGAAAGAGTTGGTTTTTTCAGCTCTAATGCTTGAAGTTGTTTGTTTATAACATATTGGGGTGCTCAGTAAAATTTAGCTTTGTGTAACTAAATGCTTTATAATTTTATTGAATCGCAACAGCAGCAGCAGGATGAAGACAGATGTTTGCTGCAGACCTGAAAAACATGCTAAGGAAAGGAGTCATCTTAAGACATTCTGCTTAGCTCTCAAGGTCCCTATTTGCACAATGGACCCATTTTTATTACAAAGCAGCTGACCATTTCAAGCAACAAAGCTTGTCAAACTGTATTGTAAAGCAAAAAACCCCAGTTTTTTCTTTGGGGATTGCATTCCCAAGAAATGTCTTGAAGCAGGTCATTATGATCTTTCCAGTCTCTGGGAAATGGCTAGAAGGTCAATAATTCAAAATGAGCTTAGGTTTTCTCTGACTTGAGCTGTACAAACTGTTTTCTCACTTACAAAAAAACCCCACACATTTCAATAATAGTCAAAGAGAAATAGTATCACTTTTACACATTTATTTTTGCCTGATTAGCTTCTAGACAGAAGCCCTCAAGATACATCAGGACAGCTGGGTTTCTGAAATGAAATCCCTGGCATTATCATACCACTTACAGTTTTGGTCTACTTCAGAGTAGTTACTCTGAAAGTAATTTATATTAAAATGGTTCAGGTAAGTAGAATTATACAGGAAGAATGAAGAACCCATACTGACTGGGGGGAGTTGGTTCCATTTTCATCCCTATACCAGTAGAAGAACATAGCTTTTCACATTTATACAGCTTCAATCATGCTATTGGTTACTTCCTCTAAGATTTACAAAACCCCTTTACCCTTACCTGGATACAGAACTAAAATATTGTCACAGTGAGCTGTAAGAGGCAATTGGGATAGGAAAATGGCAAAAATTCAGAATGGTCTTGATGGACCGCTGCTCTAACCCAGCTTAGCATTTCTGATGTCATTTCATTCTTCATGTAATTGAGAACTACCTTATTATTTATTGTCATATCCTCCACAATAAGTCTTTTATTCTTTGGGTTTTATTTGCTTGGAATTTTTACATTCACTTTTATTATATTCTATAATACTTCTAAGTCCTTTACTACAAATGGTGTTTTATAGCTCACATATACTTTTCTTAGTTTTGACTACTTTTTCCACATTCATGTTAATTCCAATTGGCCACTTTAACCTCTCAATATTTATGACTGAATGGCATGTACTACATTTTTGTGCACATTAATCTGTCAGTGAACAGTTTTCATTTCATCTCGGTGACAGTTCTCTTTAGTACTTAAATCCCATTCATCTCCACTGAAGGCTTTCTGTGTTTTGCTATAATTTGCTTTGCTGAAAAATAACCTTTTGCTTCATTATCTGGTCTAGCTTTAACTCCATAAACCAAATTAAATGGCAAACATCCTTCACACCGTACCTAGCCATTCCATGGCTAATTAAATGTTTCCATTTGTTAATAAAGTCCTACTCATTTTCTATATACTCAGTTTACTACAGTTCACCATTTCTTTAAGGTCAGCCTTCAGCATCTCCTAACAGTTTAAACAGGCACAACAAACTCTTTCTGGGGGAGCAATAACAGTCAGACAGACTGGACCCACAGCAAGGGTTTGGAATGAATCTTCAATAAGTCTGGACACAAATAAGACTTTTTGGCATAAAGGAGATCCCTACCACGGAAATCTAGTAAAGAAAGTATCATCTGAGATCAGCGAACCTGCTTTGGTGATGTTCACAGCTTGTACTTAGTGATGAAGGTTCCATGGAAGGCCTTGTCCCAATCTGAAGACTATTAGCCACTTAGCGACTTAGACTATTAGCAATTACACACACATTTTTGTTTTGGTTTTGTTTGTGTGTTCACTCTGAGGTCTTAATCAAGCCATAAGAAACTCCTCTGGATGGCATCTGGAGGGGAGCCCTACAGGAATTTCTCCAGCTAGTGAGCTGCAGACCACAGAGGGAGGAGTAAACACAGATGGAAGGTCTTGGCTCTCCCTCCAAATGCTTCCAACTATTGCAAATTAAGCTGCCTCTGCTACTGCTTCCAGAAATTTTTGAGCTTGAGAAATTCAGTGGTATGGGAGAAATTTAAAAGTTTACAAAGTCCGAAGAAGCATTTCAATCAAGAGGAGTAATTCTGATCCCTGTCTTTCCCGAAGGCTCTGAAGGTACCTAATTAGAAGGGAAGAGGGGGTTTTGACTAAAAGTAGTGAATTGAAAAGAAGTTAAGAGTCTGAGGTCTGCCTCTGCTGATAGATGTGGGAATGTGCATGCAAACATGTAACAACGTAATTAGTGCAAGAAAGATGTAAGGATTTTCTGTATGGCAGAGTGAATGAAGGAAAGAATATGATGGAAAAAAAGAAAAAGGAGTGCTGCACTGATGTAAGAGATCACTGGTTGAAAAGAGAACACAAGGAAGCAAAAACCCTGAAGGTTTTGTATTGACTACTACTGTCTTCTACATTTTACCTTAAAACGGATAGAATTTTTTTTCATGGAAATAGACTCCTCACCAATCCTCATCAACCTTTTTCTTCAGCACTACTGGTTTCACTTTGAAAATTTAGTAAGCCTGCAAATCAGATACGGGGAAAAACTTTGCCACCTATGGTTGTACCATGTGCTCCAAGTGTTAGCCATTATGTGGTTACCAGCTATATCTTCATTTGGAAATGAGACTTGAAGACACTACATCAGGATGCACTCTTCTTTTTTGGGACATTACTCCTATTTACAAACATAGAAAGAGAAGGGTAGGACTTGCCACCAGTTGCCAGTCCCCAAATCAAAAAACCCAACTGCAATCCAGTTAACAACTCTCTGTAAGGATAACTGGAAATCGTAAGGCTACTTACTCACTGCAACAAGGGAAAACTGCAGAAAGGGAAGTGGTGATAGCCTGGCCACCACACTAAATCCCCTAAGATCACACCTTCAATCTTTTTCCCTCCAAGACTAGCCTACAGAAGGTCAGAATTTGCAACATTATTTTAGGGTATCTCCATAGGGGATTCAAATTTATTTAATTTTTGGTGGTGGTGGTGGGGCGATTGGAAAAGGATACCAAAAAGAGCAACTATGCAAAGCAAAAATTGCCTTAGCCTAAGATTGAGAAATCTTAATATAAGAAATATAATCTTCCCTGCTTGTAGGGCTGTCATAAGTTAAAAATCCACCTAGTCTTAAAACTACCATAGTTATTTCTGGCAGAAAAATAAAAGATCAAACAGAAGTGAAAAAACAAGCTTTCTTTATACTCACAATGAGAGTATATATAGATAGATACCTGTGTATGCATGTGTATGTGGGTGTATAGACACACACACACATGCATACATACGCAAAAACACTACAGATGCTTTCTTACCCACTACACATGATTTTATAATTTTTTTCAAAATTGAATCTAATCCACACAAACAAACCAGTTTCTCTGAGAATTTTAGTTCTGTAACCCATGAACAATTTTAAAGACAGGATGCTAATACTGTATGGGGTTTAGGTAAATTCTCTCATGTGTCTATTTATCAGTACAATAATCCATGTCTTTCTTATTTGGCTATTTCAATGCAGGGGAGCACAACTCACAAACATGATTTTTGCTAGTCCTTCATATTAATATATTTTGGACAGCTGTATTTTTATTGTGGCTGGTCCATTTCCCTATTTTTTTCTCCACTAGGTGGCACAATTTATATTATTTTCTTAGACAATGTCTTTTACTGACCAAAATAAGGTCTGTATCAAAATAAAACTTTCCTAATAAAAAGAGTAAATAGCACATCGATTGAAATCCAGAAGATTCTCACTACCCTCATAAACAAAATATAGAACACATATATTTAAATAAACTCACATACCTTGTGCATATGTTTGAATTCTCCCTTTAAATATTGTCCCCATTTCAATTACTTCATTCATTGATTCTTAATGAGAACTTGTTATTTGTTAAACCAGGACTTCCATTGCCTTGCTATAAAATTTCTTTAAAATAAGTGAATCAGGCTAGGCTACCATTTGCTCTACAGCTCCTGGAGAAACAAGCCAACACAACAGATAGCCCAAAATGGAAAATGAAACTGCAAAACAGCAAAACTTTCCCTATAATGTGCTTGAGATGGTTGGGCACTAAGTAACTCTGAGTGAAGCCAGGCTACTTGTATTGCAACAGGCAATCTTAAAAGAGAAACAGGCTGAGAACTATCTTGAGATAGTCAGACTCAGGAGATTTGAAAGGGAATACGGTGAGATGATGTTGCTGATGCACAAAACAGATATTCTTACCAGAGACAGTACTAATGTTCAGAAGAAAAGGAAGGAAACCAGGCAGTTCAGTTTCCGAAAGCCTCAGCAAGTCAAAGAAAAACTCCAGACGTGAGAAACTGTGTGGTAATCCCATGGTTTTGTTGCCATTAGGTTTGTAACATAACCTGTAGCTGGAGTCATGGGAAAGCCCATAAATGCTGTATCAAGAACTCTCTTCCCTTTACTGTCAGCTTTTCCAAACAAGCTCATTCTTGGGTGCTCTGTATGAGCATTATAAAGTTTTCTTACATTATTATACAGTTTTGCAGAAAATATATCTCAATGTATTGGCCCACAAAAAAAGGTTGTTAGAGGACTTGCTGCCATTTCAAACACTGAGACCGAGAAGCATCTTACAATTATCTATTCATTCATGTTTAATTCATATTCAGAAGATTTCTATCATTATGCATCCTTAACCAAACCTGTAGACCCCAACATGATCATAGACTTACTCTTGTCAGTAGTTCATCCATTTCTGTCACCAGGGTATCCAGATTTTCTTGTGCTAGCTGAAGAAGTCTCTCTGGTGCTCGCTGAGGTGAAAGCAAATGCTGTTGGGGAAGAGAGCAGGGAGAGTGAAAATCTGTATTTAATGGATCTCAGTGCTTCCAAATATTGTAGAGAAGAAGCACCAAAAATTTCCTTTTCATTACAATATGCAGCTCCCTTTTGTCATTGACTCTTGTGTCATATCCATCCAACGTATTTTTCACAGGAATCTTGACAGCTTTACATAGTTTAGTAGAGAACCTATAAGTATGGTAGGGAACATACAGTATATAAAATACATAACCGCTTTATGGACCACCAGCATGAACATTATTTTATTTGTATGTGATATCACTTTTTCTGTGCCTGCAGTGTAATTCCTTGCATATACATACACAAATTACTGCTGTGAGATTTATTTATTAAAATAAGTCAAAATAAATAACTGTAATAACTATTTATCAACCAAAGCAAGTTTGAAGTAATTAAATCTTGAATTTTTTTTCTTCCCTGAACCTACTCACGGTTGTATGTTTGAACAGATTCAAGTACAGTTGTACTGAAGCCCTGTTATTTATGTATGTGAATACTGTGAACATACCTTTAATTCCTGTGTCATGTTCTCAAAACCATGCAACATTTTATACGGAGCAGGCAGTGGACCACTAAGGTTAACACTCAGGATCATCTGGTTTAGCCGATCCAGGTCACTGAGGAGGAGTCCTGTGCATTCATCATCACAAGCTGGGGGGAAGAACGGCAAAGCTTATTTATTCCTGCCAAATGTTTAAGACATGTGTTTGAGTTCGAAATTTTATGGCACATATACAACTCTGAGAGAGGTAACACTAATTTCAGATAATTTACCCCAAAAGCATAGTGGTAGAAAAAATGGAAACAACAACTAGGGAACAGGAAAGACCTTATTGCTTAGCACTTGGTAACGGGACAGTTTAATATAAAACATGAAGAGCAAAACTGGCAGGCTTACCTCACAAAAAGAGGAAATAATTAATGTTGTCCGTTATGGAGTAGCCAATATAAAATCCTAAATTAGACAAGCAATTTGGATGAAGTCTGAGAAAAGTGGACAGGTAATTTGGAAAATCTAAGGAGCATTTTAAGAAGTGTAGTATGGTTGTGAATTTGAAGGTAAGAAAAAACTAAAGAAATCTTACAATTTACATACTTTATAGTCATATAACAGCATGGCCAAGCATGCTAAACTTGTAATGCAGACAGTAGAAAGAGTCCAGGTAAAATTACTGATAGTTTTCTTTTAAGAAATGCTTTTCCCTACCTCCTTTCACTAACCAGCTTATAAGTTTTTCATGTGTGCTTCCTTTCTTGCAAATATTCTTTAGCATGAAAAATACTGGTGTGTGCTGCATATACCGAAAGGAGTTTGCATTTTCTCCCCTCTTGCTTTCTATTAACTATCACAAGAAATTCTCATAACCTTAAAGTCTTGTATCATTTACGCTGCAGACAGGAGAATACTTCATCCTTTAGAACAGAGTTGTGGGAATGCCTTTCTGTTTCCCTGCATAAAGATGCTACACAGGACTGGCAAACCTAAACAACATCTCAGGAGATGGAGCAAACTGTGAAACAATGAATTCACTGGTGATGTTAAGAGACATGGAGGGTTTTACCTAAAGTTTTACAAGTATGTAATTATTTATTGCAGCAACACTCCTAGGCAGCTCAATGGCTAAAAAACCACTAAACAACATGTGTGTTTCTGTAGAAAAAGAGAAGTAATTTTCAACAGAGAATTACATTTTTTTCCCTGAAATCTATTCTCCGTGTAGATTAAATCTTTCCTTTCTTTAAAGTTTTCAGAGTTATCTAAATGTTGTTAATATCTAAATGTATCTAAATGTCCTATTCTGTAGGCTGGCTGCTCAATAGAGGAAGCAGTTGAGTCAAATACAGAGAAAAGAAGAATAATGAATACTAGTTTAATACACCATGAAACTCATGTGATGATTGAAAAGGAGACAAGATAGATGCTGGATTAGTGCGGTAAGAAGTGGGTGCAGAAAGCTAGATACTGTTATTTTAGACTTCCTTTGGCATTTTCATTGCTTCCATTTGCAGACTTCTTCCTCCTATTTCACAGTATTTTGTTACATAAGCTGAACTGCACTGGAACTTCTCTGCAGTTGTTAACTGTGGGCATGACACATTCTGATTTACGTTTCTATGTGAAATTAAAAAGAAAAAAGCTTATTACCATCCCAGCTCTTGTCATCTGTGTGCTTGCTTTTAGAAGTCTGAGAGAATTAAAGGAAAAGCAAGTTTTACAACCAACTGAATGTTTTATATAACAAACACCTGTTCTGTAGCTGGTCAAGAAGGTAAATAGACCTGATAATCATTTTGCAGGATGCAACTAAGTGTTCTCAGACCTGAAAAGAGTTGGGGTTTGTTGGTTGGTTTTTTTTTTTCTTTCCTGATACATTATTTGAGTTATGAAACAAGCTAAATCTATTCACCCTCAAAATTGTCAGAGTGGTTGGTAATAAAATTCTAAAAATTTGCTAAGTGTTAAAGACAAACTCAATTCACACCAATAAGAAAAAAATGAACAGCTTATGAAGAGATGAAGTATCCTCAATGTGAGAATTCAGTATAAATTAACACCTCTTGCACGATAATCAGGTTGAAAAGAGGAACTACATCAAGTGAGGACCACAGTTGGGTAGATGAGACAGGACTAAGCTACTCCAATATGCAGCCTGAAACGTACTGGAGCTATGGGAAATATTTCAAGAGCATGATTATATTTTGCAAGACTAAATATTTCTGTGTCTAGCTATAAAACTGTCAGGAGAAATTTGTGTCTAATATTAACAAATGCAGCACTAAATTCAGATCGTTACAGCAGTGCAAGCATGTAAGAGGCAAATCATGCAGTCAATATTACAATAGTCCAGCAAGCAATTTATGCAAATTACCGCATTTTCCATTTTCACCACACTTTCCCATGCACAATAAGTCCTGTAAGGATTTTGACTTACCTCTTGTGAGAAGCATCTCCAAATTATGCATGCCAAAAAATTAAAAAAAAAAAAAAAAAAATTGCTCAAGTAATAAAAGACACTATAAGTTTATGGACATCTAACCACTTATTCCATCTTACAAAGAGAAGATAATGTACAATAAAGGAATCACATGTCTGAGCCACAATGTGTTCCTCCAATTGAGTGAATATCTAACACAATTTTGCTTTAATACATTCATTTCTGTTAAGATTCAGAAGACTGTGTTACGACTAGGTAATTGTTGGTCTAAGGGCAACCATGCAATCTCTGATGTGAGGTGGTATCCTATGATAGTCAGTGACTCTTCAATATTAGTTTCCTGTTGCTTCACAATAAAAAAGTGTGGAATTGTTAGGCTCATTAATCTGTTGGCTGTTACCCCATTTTTCGTATTTTGGCACTGGTCTCACACCAAATAATAAACAAGCCCTCCTCTACCCCGCAGAACAGAACCCCTGTAGAGAGCTCAAAGCTTTGCCATTGCTGCTGGTTTCAGGGAGTTTGCATGGTCAATATATCTCCAAAATCTAGGAAAATTCAGATCCAGATCAGGGTCTAAAGTACTGACTCAGGTTTATTTCTAATTTTCCTTATTTATAAAGTCTCATTTGTTGGTTCTGATATATACCAGTACTAGTTAGGTTTATATAGTGCTTGAGTTGGGCAAAAGATGTTGGAGTGTGGGTCTAAACTCAACAGGAGATCATGCATCAAAAAAAGGGAGAACAACTGATAGCTTATCAGCTTCTAGGCCAAGCAGGGGTGCCCGTCCCTTATTGAGCTCATGCAGACAGAGAAGCAGTTGGCCAGCACAGAGGTAAGTTTAATTCTTACAGCTGTACCATAAGGGCCACAATTTCTGTTAAACTCAGAACATAGCAGAAGCTAGTCCAATGCTTCATAGATCTGGTGTTACACACAGTATCTTTCTCTTCAGCTCACTCTGTGAAGGCTTGTGATAAGAAGCTCCCAGCTCCTGCTAAATTCAGGACTGTGTGGGAGCTAGGAGATGCTTCTTTTCACAAATTCTTCAAGATCTGCCTCTGACAGAGACAGCATGTTCTGCTTAGTTCTGAACTTGGGAGGGCTAGATCATGGAGCTACTCCCTATTTTAGAGGGAAAACCTTGATTCTGCCAGGACCAGTGGCTAGGAACATCCTCGTTCTACTGGGTGCACAACTGAGTGGCAGCTGGGAAAAACTCCCTCTCATTGCAAGCACCAGTCTACTTAGAGTACAATGCTTAAGTGTCCAAGACCTGGTTTGAAGGAATCTGATTATATAATTTTCTCCTTCTACCAACATTGAAGATTTAAATTTGTAAAGATGTAAGTTTGTTAACTGCTGCATGGCTGAAGGTCCTTTTTTTTTTCCTCACACAATTGAGTTAAAGAAAAATTCCTAACAATGCAATATCTGTTTGATCTCTCTATGTCATGATTGCTTCCTGTTCCCTGTTAATCTCGTACAGCAGAACCACATCGACTGCTTTACGTTTAGGTTTTTGCTTGACCCCAAGGAACATTTGTGACAGGAGCATACATCTGAGGAAAGGTTTTGCAGTTTGTGTTGCAACAGAGCTCAAAATATTGAAGCCAAATTTGTTTGAAGTCCCCATTGTAGTCGTGACTGATTCCCTGAAAGCATTCAGAAGGTGAGTTCTGACTTGCCATATGTTTAACACTAAAGCCTTGAAGTTCTAACTAGGATCTTTTCTTTTCCTAAACACTGCACAGCAGCAAGCACAGTCACTGTTCCAACAACACTGCAATCTAAGGTTCTTCATTTTACATACTACAAACTCTACAGCTGAAGTGAAGTGGAATGTCACAAGGTATAACAAAAAATACACAAGAAAATTACTAATCTAAGAAAATGTACAATTGCTACAGGCTTGATCCAAAACCCCTTGTACCTCCTTCTTTCCACTTCAGTTTGCTAAAGTCAAAGCTCTTTGGGAAGGATGAGGAGGGAGCAATACACGCTTTGGCTTGTTTACATATTTCTGGTATGTGTGTGTAAAATATGAATCGAGCAAATACTAATGATCTCAGTCTGCCTGAGCATGCTGGGTACAGATGAACTGAGGAAAGGCTGCTCCCGTTCATCACACAACTTGGCCGTGTTCTGGATTGGAACTGTGGGGTTTAACTAAGAAAACAAAAAATACACATCTTCAAATATTGTAGTGATCATAGGCCAGTCAGCAATTGCCAGTTGACAACTTTCAGCAGAATAAACATTGAGATATATTTATTACAGTAAAAATGAGTGATGCATAAGGGAGCATCAATCATTTAGAGGACAATTCATTTGTAGTTACAAATAAAAATAAAAATCTGTAAGCTTAGAGAAGATTTGGGAGAACTGTTGTCATATTTGACAGTATACAAGGATGTTGGCAGCATTATTAAAATTAGTTTGAAATCATTACTAATTTTCTTATTGCCTACTGAATGTTTCAAATCAGAAGGGAAAGCGAGCCTAAGAAGTGGATTACTTGAGCCCAAAAATTCCAAGGAAGTCTTCATCAGCAGAGTATTATGAGTATCTGTACATGATCTAGGTGGTCACTTTAGCTGGGGAAATAATCCAGTTATTAACCATACTAATGCAAAAAATTTAGAATTTTTATGATGTATAGTAGACCATTCAGACTCTTGTATCATAAAAAAAATCTACTCTTTGGATATCATTTTCCTAATGGAAAATGCCATCCCTAATGGCATCCTAGAGAAAACAACATTGTTCTGTTCTAAGAATATAATGGCAAGTAAATTCTGTCTGTGCCATTCACCTGTAATTACCTTTCCATTGTCATTTAGCAGTAAACAAATTCTTCCCCTTTGTACAGTGGCTTCTAAAAAAATATTCTCTTTCCATTCTACCTGTAGCTTTCTAAAATATAACTGTTATAACACGGCACTGAAAAGTGGCATGCACTAAGCAACTGAAAAATGACACGTTATGAAAAAACAGCAAAAACCTGGTAAAACGGATTTTCAGCTATATCAGAAATAGATCACTTTATTGAACATGCACGCTCCTCCAGATTTTTTTCTGTCTTTTCACTGCAAATTTTCACTCTAAAATCTTTAGAATACTTACGATAAGGGATATGTTAAAAAATAAATATTATATTTAAACAATAATACATTACAATATTGTGGCTAAAATACCTCTCTAATTGGACTTAAATATGCATTATTTAGCTTTCATATCATACTGTGTGGTCACCCTTAATAGAATTTGCCAAAAATTCATTATTCAGATGGTTATTCTTTGCTAAATATTCAAAATCAATTTTCACTTTCCTAAATATTAAGTATAACATACTAACATTGGATAGCTTAATCACACTGTTTTATATTACTGACAACCACCTTTTTTCAAACATGGGTGATTGTATTTGCATGTATTTTCTTTAAGCTAGACCATTTTACCGCCTAACTAGGGGTTCTTCACACTTCTGACAGGTATAATGCAATTGCAGTATTTGAAACCGAACTCTGCAAATGAGCAAAAGTAGATACATGCATACAACTCATTTGAAATATTGAATGCAAACAGGATTCTGCATATGGCATTAATTTTCTGTACATTAGGAGCACTTAATTACTATTTTTATTACTATTAAGGTTTCGTTACAAGCTAGTCAGAAGGGAATTTACTGAGTATTTTGGAAGTGATTGATACACGAAAGTAAAAATATATTGTATACAGGACCAAATTCTCAGCTGCATTCTCACCAAATTCTCCAATCTCAACTCAGACTGGAACAGATAAATGTCTGGGTGTAAGGAAGGAAAGCTTCAGGGTTTCCCCAAAAGGCGTTATTAATGGTTTTTTGACAGCACAATGACTATTAAAGCACATTAGGGGCTGCAGCAATGAATCCCTATCAGAACAAAAAAGCTGTACTCTGAAGCCTGTGACATACACCACAGGCGAATTCCCACCAAGTCTATGCTTGCCACACTCCCTTTGTCTGCCACAGCCCCTGTGTCCACCACAGGCTACACAGGTAAATTGTTTATTGATCTGGCTGTTTTTCTACCGTGTCAGGGGTATTGCCCTGCATCAGCAAAGGTGAGTTTGCAGTAATATGGGGGTTGAGGAACCTTTAAACAAAGGGAAAATCATATAGTGAGAGCAAATAGGTATAAAGTGTCTACTGAAATATTTAATTGCAGTTTTTGCAATTTATGACATGGATGTTATTGATGTGGTGTCAACAGTAACAGACTAGTTCCTGTGACAGGGGAGATTTAAAGTACTTCTCCTCTGTTCCTATAGGTGGTTCCTATTTTTGTGACTAAAGGAAAGAAATCTTTTCATTTCATTACTCACTTTTAGCAATGACATGAAATGTCCATATGCACATGCAAAGGACTGTTTTTATGGTGAAAATTTATTATCTAGTTAAAGTAAAAATGCTGCTACAGCTAGTGTAGATACATTTCAACACCAGCACATGAATATGCTGCAGTTAAATCAGAGACTATAGCAAACCACACCTTTCAAAGCAAAAAGGTGGAAAATTTGATTTGTCTGCACACAGCTTTTCCCATTCATAGTGAGGATTTTTAGCCTTATTATCCACACAATGAAATAGTCTGATTAACAAATTGGAAAACCATTACAAATGAAAGCTTGCACTTAAGCTGTTTGGTACAAAGAAACTCTGCCATCCTGGATATCCAAAAGACTTTTCAAAATACTGATAAGGTAAACAAACAGTAAAAAACATACTAAGCGGTGCCTGAGATTGAAAACATTGGCTAGTACTGGAAATAATGTAACAGGTATTCAGGATGTTGAAAAATTAAGTCATTTTCGTTGAGATACCACTCTGGAAAACACAGTCCTTATTTTAAAATTTTGTAGCTGTAACACTTACGGACTTAACTCGTGATTACAATTCTCCTTGATATGTAGGCCACAAAATGGAATCCAAAGTGTAGTTATTTCAGTAGCCACTTACTCTATTTGCATTCATTTTGCTGTAGTTTAAAATAGAGCTTAAGATATACAATAGTTCAGAATTAAGTCCTAAACTACATCCCACTGCAGGACATTACAACTTTATTTCCCTTAAGCACACTAAGCTTTTCATTAATGAACCAATACCATATTATTAATAATATAGAAATAGAAGTATTTATGTCTATATTCCCAGTAATGTCTCTATTCATCTTCAAAGAAGAGTTGTACCTGGTAATCACGACTAATGCAAAAGCACTGAACTCAATAGTCACATTTAGAAGCTTAGTTCTGCGAAGTTCTGATCACTCTCTGAGAGCTGATCACAACCATTAAGTTGAGTGAAACAATGCACTGTGTAGTCCCTGACCCTATGTGCCTAATGTCTTCCTCTTGAACCACTCAAAGAAGCCACACATTTCATCCTAGACTGATATGATACCTTCAGCCATTTTTAGCACTTCTTTGGTTTCTTTATTTCTTTATTTTTCCAATTGGCTTTTAAAATGTTTGCAATTTTTTTGAGCTGTACTAGCTGATTTTAATATTAGAGAGCTGTACACCTCTGGGTATTGAGGTAAAGACTGAGTGCACTCTGGGAAAAAAAAAAAAAAGATAAGAGTCTTTTTTTGGTATCCACTTGCCTTGATATTACATGTCCCTCACATAGGCACACACCTCCCCCCCCAAAAAAAGAAAAAGCTTCAATTAAAGAAGAATAACAGATAAAAAATCAGGTAAAACATTAAAACTAGTTCATTGCACCTTGCCAATATATTCAAAGATGCACAGATTAAGAAATATTATATACTGTGGACTTACTGCATCCCTACCTGTATTCTACTTTAAAATGAACAACGATGGCCTCGAGAGGAAGAAAAAAAAATAAAAGATCACAATAAAATTAGTTCCTACTCAGCTGGGGGAGATGGAGGAGAGGAAAATGCTTTATTTCAGTCAGGATTTACTAAGTGTTCAAGAAAGGTTTTGCTACCTGAATTTTTTTGATAAGGCATAAGCATACAATATCACAGGAAATGAGACCGTGGGCTCAAAACACTATCCAATTTCATAGAAAAAAATTCCAAAGAATAATAAAAGACAAGATACTTGGTACATATCAAAACTGAAAGTAGGGCAAAGATACCAGTACTGTAAAATGTAATTTGGTGTTTTAGGCTATTAGTTTTCTATTTTAAACAAAGGAAGTTCCTGGATATATTGTACTGTCATTCCTTATGTCTTTTAAATTCCAATGGGTGGTTGTTGAACCAACACGACCAAGCAAACCTTGGTAAAAACTTTCTGTGTGACTCATGGCATAGAGCATTGCAATTGCTGGCTAAACATTTAGGACAACACTAAAAAATTCACTAAGAGCAAATACCGTCACAACAGCAGTGACAACCTTTAGCAAAACCACAGACTTCAAAAACCCACAAAAAGAAATCCTTCAAAGCTTTGTTGTCAATTTTCAGTGAGCTTATTAAAAAGTATTAAGAGTTTTCCTAACATCTCAAGGCTTGTGAAAAAAATGGACCAGAATGCCAAAGTAGTAAGAAACCTGGGAACTATTTTCAAAGAAACCCACACAACTGACTGATGTGCAAGCAGAGTTAAATTTCTGAAATATGACAAACGCCATCAAAAATTCTCCAGAATTACATTAGTATACGTACAAATGCATTTCATGCGATCACGCGCATGCCGATGTTCACAGCCAAAACACTTCCACCCTGTGAATCCAGGCTTGCAAGTGCACTGTCCAGTGACAGTGTCACAGGGGACAGGCAGGGAACCGTATCGATCACACTCACATTCCTGGCAGGAGCCTCCTGGAGTTTGTGGGTTTCCCGTGTAGCCAGAAGAACATCTAGACATTGCAAATACAAAACCAGGTTTGGCCAACTGAGATGCATAGTGTACTACAGTGAATACTTGGCAAGATAGTAAATAAAATGTATATGAACATTCATTCATCAACCATTAAAAAAATCTTCGGTGCTTTACAACTTAGTATGCATTTGTAGAGGGAGAAATGTTGCAAACTGTCCAATAAACTGATAATAACTTTTAACCAGGACATGGAACAGTCTGGATGGAAGAAGTATGCAAAAGTGATTCCACACCCCTAACAGCTTTCAGTTAAACTTCTATTATACCATGACAAAAACGTTTTTACATTAGCAATGTTTGGTCTATAGACCCTTTTTTTCCCACTAGCCACTTGTGTTTTGCGTTAGAAGTGAAATCTCATAGTAGACACTTGCTAATTTTGATCATCTTAATCCCACAGTGTTGCTGTGGATGGAACAACAACTGCTGTTTAGGTTATTAATCTGCAATTTGGTCATTAATACGTTTATATGTAGGTGTCTTTCACAGTCGGTGCCCATGAGGACACAATAGTCACAGAAAGTAAGACTAGGACAATATCTGTGATATAAATAACACTGATTATCAACTTTCAGTGGGTGTGCATAAAAATTGCCTATTATGGCTGAGTTTTAACAACATATAAAGAGGAAATAACTTATCCAAAGGCATGTATTTAAACATTAGTAAATATATGTTTAAAGTATTCAAGGACATTGCTCTCCTTCATGTCTTGCCTGCCTTTCATTGTTCCTCTTTCTTCTTTTTCTATTCATCCTACCTTTCACAGTACTGGCCTTCATATCCAGGTGGGCATGCAGTACATCGGTAATCACTAGGTCCTTCAGCAACACAAGAAGGGCTAAAACTAAAACAAAAGCAAATAAAAAACTTTTTCCACTCTATCGCATCATTTCACTCTAGTCAGCTGTACAGAAGGGCCCATGGTGAGCTCCATTCTTAATGTAAATGGCAGCATTTTCTTATCTGTTTATAAATCCCTATGGGAGATCCCTTCTTTCTATTAAGAATTTTGTGAATGCCTTGCTGTGATACTGGCACAATTTAGACAAATGCTGGAAGGGCAGAATCAATGAGGGTTGTATCAGAGGGGATGGAGTCAACAACGCCGATGCTGTAGGCTTGTGTGGTTGCATGGTGCTGTCACTCACAGTGATCAAGAAAAGGTAGTAATGGGAAGGATGTCAAACAAAAGATTAAGAAACTGAGCTAACAAACATCCAGCCTTTCCAGTCTGATTTAATTTTAGTTCGAATAGAAGGAGATAAGCTGGGAAGAGTTTACTCAAAGGTAAGACATAAAGAAGGAGAAAGGAACCAAAGTCATAGCCATGTGGAATCTTCCAAAAAGGCAGCATCAGATGATATTCTCAAGGATGTACTGAAAAGACTGGGCTACAGAGAAAAAAACTCTAAAAGCAGAGAAAAAAACCCTAAAAGCTACCTTCTTTGTGATCAGGGAGGGGTCGTATTTTAATCTCAGGAGACACTAGATTATTTTTACTAAGCCATGACATAGATGAATAACTAGTGACTGCAGTGTGTACCTATGGGAACTGTGCAAAGTAGCATGTTGCTGGAATATTAGTGCATTAAATGCCTGCACAGACAGTTAAAACAAACAAAATGGGTAGATAGGGGAAAAGAAATACAACTAAATATTGAGATGGTGCAATATTGTAGAACTCTTTCAGCTCTTTGTGGAAGAAGAACCAGAAAAGCACAGAGGTGGCTAGCAGTGAGCCCAGAGCTCCTTCTTGGTTCGGTACAGTCAGCATCCTACTCTAACTTGCTTATAATGGATCAAATCAATAGGGCTTGAATTAGTGTATAAAATTACACCTTTGCAAAAAAATGTAAACAAATTGATCTATTACTCACAAACTCATTATCCAACACATTTTCAGCTCTAAAAAAATAGATCCACACCCCCAGGAACAACTCATTCTCTCTGTTCTTTTTTTTTTCAGCTCCTCATGTTTGAGGCTGACTGCTGACTGTACAGGAGTATAAAACCAGTATTTAAAACCTTAGTGGAGTTTCGTAAAATTTCATAAATAAAAATAACCGCATTATACTAATTCACAAATATTATCATGTCAGTCATGACATAATGAGCTAATGAGATAGCAGATTATGATTACCCAAATACCATACAATAGCTGCAGGCAGTTAGATTTTTTTCCTGAGTAGTATCTTGAAGAGCTTTCACTGCACACCACACACAAATCCGAGGTGCGATACCCTCATTTTCCACCTAATTCTGTAGCTTTATGGAATCTATTCCACCTAGGCCTATCCATCTAAAAGTTAGGCATGTAGTCTAAGCCAACTGTTCAGCCATCCTCTATCAGCAGTGGAAAATGGAGATGCACGGACATTTACACATTTGCATACAGGCATATACATACATTTGAAACATCTCCTCCCCCGCCCTCTCAATGGCGGTATCCTTCAGTTTTAACATGGGTGAGATGTATAGTTGTTTGTCCCTGCATTTACTACACAGGTACCAAAATTGTTGATGACTACAGCTAACGGAAGTAGAAATCCCATCCATGACATCTAGAGACATCTGAATTAAGCTTTATAAAACCCAAGCAGTTCTGTTTCTGGACATGCTCAGATCTGACTCCTCTCTCGACAGCACTAAGAAATTGGATGACTATCTCATGATTAAGTGTATTTACTAATTTCAGACTAGATGTTATTCATTTATCTCCTATGAAGGCTTTTGAACAGAAAAGCCTTATGATTACTTTTATGTGACCATGACACAAAAGGCGCTGACAACATCCACAGCCATGCAGACTGTGTGGCTGCATGAGGTATTGGCGCTTTCCTTGCTCTCCCTTCCTCAGGCAGCTCAGCAATTTGAGTGCGCACCCGGGACACACGTACTACCTGGAGTCCACACATTTCTCAACTGTAGAGCACTTCAGTGACACCCACTTCCTGTGCTTTACGTTAGCTTTTAGGCAAGATACTGAAGTGATTTCTGGAGCACAGTGTGGAGAATATGTCTAAATTCTTGTAGCAGGGTGCCATAACCACCCAGGTGAAGAGTCCTGCTCATCTTCTGATCTGACACCTGTATTTCCGGGCAACCAAAGGTTCCTAAGCCCCCCCAAAAAAATAGGATCGAATGATATTTTCAGCACTTCCTACTGCCAGTTAGTAACAGAAAAGGTTTTTTCCAGTGTATTTGCTGATGTGCAAAGCTGAGAAGCTTGCTCAATCTTGTTCTTTGCAACTTGAATGTTCTTTCTTGATACTAGTAGGCAGAACACATAATCAAGACGTAACAGAAAACATTCATGAAAAAGAGTACAACTCAGAAAATCTTGCAGTTAAGACCACATTATAACTTTCTGAGGGTACTTGTTTAAGCCCCTTTTATATTTGTTTTGGTTGTTCTCAGTTCGGTATTTATGAGGTTTGGAAGTCTTTTTAAAAACTTTTGCTGTGGATGAAAGCTGCTGATGTTTGAGAAAGGGATTCCCTCCCTCAAAATAAACCTCAGACCACCCCAAAATGATAAAATGAAGAAGAAAAAAACCCCACATCTCAGATACACTGGCTGAAACACTCACTAAAACATCCTAAAGGTCAGACAAAGCACAGAAAAATGGTTTTAAGGAAGACTTCCAACCGTTCAAGAGGACAATCATGAAACACAAACCTTTTCAGAGCAGTACTACGGTATGATTCCAAATATCATTAAGAGCTTCTCAGCAAAAAAACAAACAAATCTCAAGTGCTAAAGTATCATCTGTTGGGAACACATGCGGAGATATTGTGGTGATGCTCATTAGCATAAAGCAACCAATAAAATTTATGCTGCAATAACTATATTGCTTTTAAATTATTCTATCTTTCACAAATTGCCTAAAACTCATGTAACATTAAATAAGGAATCAATAAATTCCACAGTGGAGCAAGAAAGGCACTGTAACACATTTATACCAACATAACATATGAGCATAAGACTTTTTACAGCTCCCTTGTGGCTATATTGTACTTGAGTTCTGCTCTAGCTTCATTTGTGAGAATACCTTTGTAACACACATTCATTATCTGTTGAGTATTGCATTTTCTAGCAGTTATTAATTTATTCATCACAAATTAGCAAGTGAGCAATTTCCGACTTTTAAAGGAAGATCAATTAGCAGAAGTAGATACAAAAGTTTTTAGTATGGCTTACATGGTGCAGTTCTCCTGTAGCCATCTGAAAAAGGACACAGTGAGCCCAAAACAAAGTTCTTGCTTGCTGGAAATGTAATTCTGCATCATGGGTTACTTACTTGTTACTAGAAATGGATAAGGGACAAGCACAAGGCTGACAGTCATCTGGAGAGCCTTGGACAATGCCATAAAATCCCAGCGCACACCTCTCACAGTGGTGACCAGCAGTATTGTGCTGACAATTCTGCAGAGGAAGGAGACAGAATGAAAGCTGTGTTTGATAATTACAAGAAAGCAGACAACATTTTGTTCCCAGCCTCAGGGATTCAAACTTATTTCAATTCATAATTCCTCTCTCCCTGATATGATTCACAGTGGGACAGCTTGCTTTAAGCAGCTATCAAATGCCTGCTGAGTTATATATAGGTTTACAAGGAGAAAGAATGGAGGCCTGTAGCTAGCCAGATGTATCCTATGGAATTTCTTATCCCATTCATCCTTCCTTCCCTCTTTTGTTCCAGCTGTTGAAGCAGGAAAAATAATCAATTAAAATTCAATCTTACTGTATCAGGTCACACATATTATTACCTATAAGAGCAGTGTTGTGTTTATTGCATGATACATGGTACACTGCCTCTTTAGTTTGCAGATATTTAGTTTTTCTTTTTACACAAATAGTAATTCAGCACTGCATAATCTGAACTCTAGAAAATCAGAATGGAAAACTTTTTTAAAAAAACTTTTTGCTTTTTTGACTCCCCTTTAACTTTGACACTTAAGCTATTTAAGCAAAATTGGATTAAAATTGTCCTCTATTTTTTCAGATCAGCTACACAATTTACGAATTTTACGTTAAGATTAACCTAGTGCATAAGTTCAGAAATATAATACCTGACAAATGGATGTTTCAGGGTCACACATAGTACTGTGTCCATGACACTGACATACAACACAGGCACCTAAGGACTGAGCAGGTGAAGGACTTCCTGCAGGTGAAGATGGAAGCCTATAAAATCCTGGAGAGCATGACTGCAATAAAAAATGCAGAAGAAAACAGATCTTTACAGAGTGGACTAGGTATGAGAAGCATTGCAAGCTCATCTTTCCAATCACCAGTTTTTACAAGTTGTGAAAAGAACCTGACAGGCTTCTAGCCGTGTTACAAACAATATACAGTACTTTCCAGATAACAAGAGCCAGCCCTAATTGGAAACCTTGCTGAAAAATCCCCGAAGCACTCCACTGGCACCAGGCTTTTCATATTACAGCTTGAGAGACCTTTCATTCAGATGCAGAACACCTCACTGTTCTCACTGTGCATCAAGCATCATTCCTTTCATTTCTTAAGAATAAGGTTTGTTTTTGAAATAATTTTTTTGCATGGACTGTGGAGAGCAAGCATGATGATTCTGTTTCCTTCGCCCCTGGTGAGTTTTTCAGGTTTGACAAGCTAATATCTGCCTACATATTGCCTGACGGATAACAAGCAAAAGCCGAATGATAATAATCAAAAAGACTGGCTGCATGGCTGCATTATTTATAGCTATATAATTTAAAGACCGTAAAAGTAAAGAATTCAAAATATTAAAGGTTTTACATGTCTTGGGACTATTAGCCCCAAATCAAATTTATCTATCACTAAGTCTCCCCTACCCCAGCTTGGCAATAAAATTCTGAGAGCAACCCAGAAATTATTAGCAAAGCTGACACACGCAAAATCAAGCACTTGATCTTTATCTCAGGCTTATTATGCAAATATATGAAAGTGTCTACATAGCTCCCAGAAAGCACACAGCTATGGCAGCATAAAAATACAAACAGGACCACTTTGATAGTTCAGACCATTAGGGGTAAGTGCGTACAGACAAGTCACTCGTTCCATGTATAAAACCCACCACCTAGTGGTGCTAGGAGCCTATGAAGGCTGTCTGATGAGGTCATTTCCTACTGTTGACCACAATTTCTGCTTTTTGGAAAGAATGTGAACAGTACACTTTTCATGCAGCAATAAAATGGATACAAAATAAAACAAAGGAGAATCTGAAGTAAGTAACTTTTCATGACCAAAAGCAGAATTCTTCAGTCAAGCACTAGCTAACATGCTAGATTCTATTCATACGACATTCTACGACACCCCTCTGACAGTTTTATAATCATTGCCAAAACCTCCAGGAGTCTAAGTTACGGGAAAAGCATAAACACAATTATTTTCTTTAGAATCACAAAGAAAGTAATCTAACTCGCTTCTGCTTTTCCACTTTTATTTTGACTTAGACTACATTAAGATCCCTGAAGCATAGAAACAGTCTATCTGCTCTTTCATGGCTTGTGAAGAATTCCAATTTAGATAAATAATCTCAAATGAAAGTAATTTTTTTTCTTACTACAATTTCCTAATTTTTTTCTCCCTCTCCATCCCCAGAAGAATCCTTGTCCAAACATAAAATGGTACAAAGCACAGCTTTACAAGTTCTAAGTAACGTTAGGATTGGGGTATAAATATATGGTACATCCTCAAACAAATCTAATCTCGAACTGTTTTTTCTGATATGCTATTGACACTCTTCTCATCTATTTTGATCTAAGCATTTCTGAGATGAAACGGAACACAGACAAAAGCTGAAGCAGACTACATTTTTCATTACTAGTTTGGAAGTTTTACAGAAGTAACCATTAGGGAAACTTTTACCACTGCTTTTTCAGCCTGCTACTGGATTAAAAAAATAAAAAAAAAAGGATATAAATGTCACTTCTGGTAAAAACTGCTGTGCATATAGTCCTCACAATGCAATTACAGGATAAATCATGAAATAGATACATATACCCTGTTAGCATTTGCTTAAAAAATGCCTGAGTATCAGATGCTTTTTCCTCCTGCTGAAATTAAATAA